TCTGACCCTTGTTGTCTAACATCTTTCAGAATTATGGGGAAGACAATCATGACTTTTATCTACGACGTAGTTTTACTAGCAAAGATGAAAATTCCTAGCTAAGCGTAAAATAGCACTAATTCAGTGGAAAAAAGGATTCAGGTAAGTTGCATTCTAGTCTAGTGTCCACCATGCATACAGCTGTGTGACCTTTGGTTGGTTATTAGCCTGTCTAAGCCTCCTTTTCCTTATCTGAAAAATGACATGAATATGTTGTTCTGGTCTAACTTGAATAATTGTTGCAATGATCAAATGGAATAATGGATGTGAATATGCTTTTACAAACTAAAGTGCTGTAATTTTGGGCTGCCTACTCATAGCTTTGTTTTTTCCCGTCAATAAAATGGGAATAGTCCCCTATAACTCCATAGAGTTGAGACAACTAATGGTATAACAATTTGAGCTCTTCCAAAGTAAGTTTATTTCTTGTTTTTTCTGTCTGTAAAGGTTAGATGTATAGATAATATAGAGACATATATTTTATTATAGTGTTTCTATAGAGTGTATGATAGTAGTTTTATTTGAACTAGTCACATCCTAGAGCAGTGGTTTTCAAATTGTGGCCCCTGGACCAGCAGCACCAGTGTCCCCTGGGAACTTTTAAGAATGCACGTTTTCAGGCCTCACCCCAGACCTACTGAGTCAGCCACTCTGCGTGGGGCCCAGCGCTCCACGGTTTATCAAGCCCTGCAGGTGATCCTGATGCTCACTTTAGTCTTAGAGGAAGGAATTTATTGGGTCTTGATTGCAGGGTCTGCTAAAGGGCATCCTTTTCCTGGAAGAAGGTGATCACTCCTCTTTGTCTCCGGCCTGGATTTGCAACATCTGTTCAAGCTCAGGCACCATTATTGGAGTCCTTCACAACCGCGCTCTGTCACTGCCCACCCAGGGTGGTGGAGATCTGGAATGCCGCTCCAGCGCTTCCGTTACAGGGCTGACTTCAGGGTGCGAGGAAATTAAAGCTATTTATCACAGACTATTTCTCCTTCAATGACAGGAGAAATGAGCCTTAGCCTAATAAGGCTTCACATTGAGCCCGTGTACGAAAAACACACAGCTTGACAAACACAGTTTGAGCAGACTTAACATTTCTTTTGATGCCTCCCTTTGAGAGTGAACCCTTTTCTGAGCTGCACCCAGTGAGTGGTGCTTGCTTAGGAAATACTGGAGATGGGTTCGTCCCACTTTGGTCCGAGACCTAGGCATATGTGGCAGGAGGCACTTTCCCCCTGACCGTTTTTTTCCTTTCTCTCCTTCCTGGGAGGGGACTCTGTGCGCAAGGAGTCATGTTATGGGAGGAGGGGCTTAACATTTAGCAAGAGAAAGATTTATCTGTGTTGTAGAGCTGTTGTGTGATCCAGCCCACTGCCTGCTTTTGTAAATCTTACTGGAACACAGCCACGCTCATTTGTTTAGGTATCGTCTGTGTCTGCTTTCAGACTGCAAAGAGTTGGGTAGTTGTGACAGGGACTGTTTTACCTGTAAAACCTAACATTTTTACTCTCCAGCCCTTTACAGAACAAGTTTGTCAACCCCTGTAGTCGAGGTTCCCTCTGAGCTGCCGGGAGGAACCAGTGCACAGGAAGGACAGTGGGAGGAGACCAGAGTGGTGAAACGGCTAAGCAGAAGGGAGACTAGACAGAGCAGTGATTCCTTATTGCCCATTTGAGTTGCGTACTACATGGATTTTGAGAAGTGATTCTATTTAAAAAATATATATATATTAAAATTAAACTTGGTGTATATTTATGATTGTCCAATATTTATATTTCTTCCTGGTGTTGAGCATTACAGGCAAAACTGCAGAGTTTGATGTTAAATGTTAGTAACTAACATTTGTTGGGTAGATACCATGTGCACAGTGCTTTGCATCCATTATACTATTTAATGTTCACACAATTCTGTGAGATGGGTACTGTCCTCCCCATTTTACAGATGAGAAAACTGAGGTGCAGAAAGTTTAAATTATGCCTAATGTTATGAAGCTGATGTTAGAGCCTTGATTTAAATGCAGATCATTTTGATGCCAAAACCATCCTTTTAAGCCACTGGTTTTCAAATGGCGGGTTGAGAAATCAGTTTAGCAAGTCGCACCTAGCATTTTAAAAAGAATTCAATAGAATGCAAAATACCAGAGTGTGCCATATATGACGGTAAATCTTGATGCGTGAAACTTGTTTCAACTATAAAGATATATATATTCACATACACAAATATAAACACGTTTCTTTGTACTGGGCAGCAATGTAAATGATATTTTTCATTGTCAAGTTTGAAAGCAAATATTCTTGCCTGAAGGTGGGGGAGGGGGAGGAACAGAGCAAGAGGGAGAGCAAGAGGGAGAAAATACGAATGAGTAAATGAATGAATAACTGTCAAAGAGAGAGACAGGGAGAGGGAAAGGAAATAGGAGGAAGTGGAGAGAGAGAGAGAGAAAGGACAGCACTGTGAGAGAGGCACAGAGATTCAGGGAGAGGTAGGGGGTGGGGGGGAGGCAGGAAGTCTTATGGTGCTGTCCACCATTCCACTCAACCAGCATATGCTCCTACTTAAGGGAAACATTAAACACCTGAACCGTCCTCTCAGTAGATTTTAGTTTTCGTATACGTCTCTTGCTGTGATCCTCTTGTCATTCTGAGTGTGAGTTGAATACAGATTTTTATAAAACATGTCCCCTATATACAAATAACCTATTTCATCTGGTGCTCACCTGAAAATCAGTGCTCTGAAGGGAAAACAGGCTGCGTCGGAGTTACCAAGAGAAAGTGTGGGCTCCCCAGTATACCCCTGCCTAAGGAATTGGCACAGGCAGTTGTGATTATCTGTAATTTTTGTCTTTTGAGCTGACTACCTTTGATTCCATGGCACTGCGTTTTCTGTTTTATGGGAAATCATGGATAGCAAAGATCTTAAAGTCTTCCATTGTCAAGGAATCCTACATCTACTAAGTATTTTACTTTTAAAGGATCTGGAATCAGCTAATGCAAAGTCCATTTTTACAGATGTGGAAATTGAGTGCACATGTGTATAAAGTTTCCTTATATACAGATGCTTTCATAAGAGTCATTCACTCTTCATAGCTACCCTGCTAGATTAACTCCATGCCAGTTTTCCTGGAGAAGTTGGAGCTCAGTAAGTTCAGATCCTTTGCTCAGGTTCTCATCTAAGAGGTGGGAGAGCTAGATCGAATCTTGATTCTCTGACCCCCAATTTTATATTTTTCCCACTAGACATAAAGTGGCAACAATGGGATGAAAAACAGCATTTCGTGTTACAATTTAGAAGAAGAATTTTGTTTGTAAGTCAGAGTACGGTGCAAAGCCTAAAATGCCCATGGTTTTAATGTGGTAAATCATTATGTGATTTCCTCTTCTCCCCAAGGATATTTCTCTATTTCTAGGCCCTCATAGCAAATTGAAGTTGATATCACTATGCTTTCTTGTGATCCGTTCTTGGCCTTTCTTGGTTGAAGACCTTTATAAGCACTAACTATATTTTTAGTGAGTAATAATATTGCATCAAGTAACTTAGATAGCCACTTTTTGGCATCAGCTTAAGTGGGTGATCTTTCTTTCTTTTTTTTTTTTAAATAAATGCCATGTGTAGATGTGAGTAGGTAGATCCCCTGAGTGAACTCGATCTCAAAAGCCTTCATGGCTTGTTAGAAAGAATGTAACATTTTCCTCAGTTTGCCAAAATGCCATTGCCGTATATCTTATCCACCTTGCCTGGTCTCACCACCCTAAATCTTCTTTAAGAAAGAAATTCCCAGGAGGAGTGCTGGGACTCATCATGTTCACCACTCCAACTGCCTCTGCAAAAACTTTCTGTGGGTGTGTAATAGGGTCCCGCAGCCAAGCCATCTGATCCTGCTTTGGCTCCTAAATCCCTTCCTCCGTAATAAGGATTCATGCCTCCAAATGTAAGACTCTTAGGAGAGCATTTCTTCTTGTTTCATGGTTTTATTCTTCTATTTTCAAAATAGATGGAAGGTGGTTGCAAATAGAGTCATCTCTGCTTTCCTCTACTGGTTTAATTGTGCTGAGTTTTTTTTAGTTTTTATTTTTATTTATTTATTTTTATTTTTTATTGCAGTAACATTAGCTTATGACATTATATAAATTTCAGATGTACATCGTTATATATTTCAATTTCCGTGTATCACCACATCATGTTCACCACCCAAAGACTGATTACCATCCATCACCACACACATGTGCCTAATCACCCCTTTTGCCCTCCTCTCTCCCTCCTTCCCCTCTGGTAACCACCAATCCAATCTCTGTTGCTATGTGTTTGTTTGTCTTTGTTTCTATCTTTACTTATGAAGGAGATCATATGGTGTTTGACTTTCTTCCTCTGACTTATTTCACTTAGCATAGTACCTTCAAGGTCCATCCATGTTGTCACAAATGGCTGGATTTCATCATTTCTTATGGCTGAGTGGTATTCCATTGTGTATAAGTACCACATCTTCCTTGTCTATTCATCCCTTCATGGGCACCTAGGTTGCTTCCAAGTCTTGGCTATTGTGAATAATGCTGCAATGAACATAGGGGTGCATGTATCTTTATGCATTCGTGTTTTCATGTTTTTTGGGAAAATACCCAGTAGTGGATTAGCTGGATCATATGGTAGATCTATTCTTAATTTTTTGAGGAATCCCCATACTGTTTTCCATAGTGACTGCACCAGTATTGGAAGTCAACCAGCGCAATCAGTCAAGAAAAAGAAATAAAAAAGATCCAAATTGGAAAGGAAGAAGTGAAACTGTCATTATTTGCCAAGTTGTTATTTCATTCAACCGGATACTTTCAGAAAGCTAAGATTCAGCTCTACATTCCATGAAAACTTTGTCAATGCAAACAAAATATACATCTCTGGGAGAACATGGGAGATCCTAGCCTCATTATAATTTTAGTGACTGGTGGGACCTGATTGTTGTTTATTCTTTATTTCAGAAATCCCAGAAGACCCACTTGTGGCTGAAGAGTATTATGCTGATGCGTTTGATTCCTGTTCTGAAGAAAGTGAGGATGAGGAAGAAGAAATAGTGTTCTCAGGACCGGAGGAAGAGGTCAAGGATGAGGTGCAACAGCCAGCTTACAGAACAAACCAACAGGTATGTGCTGCTCCCCAGCAGAAGTAGTGGAACTGTCCGAGGTACTGATCAGGCAGTGACCTCCCAGAGGGAGTTAAGGATGTCTTAGAATCTGAAATGGGGGATGTGGGACTAGGGTTTGTTATAAAGGCTCCATGTGATAAGTCAAGATTTTCAAGGTCCAGAGGCTAGCAGGGCCCCAATTCTGAGAATCTGGTCTGGACCATGTTGATGAGGGAAGGGCTGGAGCATCCAGTACTTATTCAGGTGGAAGGATGATACACACTACACTGTATACTGAGGAACAGCCCATATACAGCTTTTGAATAAACAATGCAGTGTCTCTTTGTCAGAGAGAAGGGGATTTTTTAAAATATACTTTCCTGCCTGGTAATCAGATTTGTGAATCATGTCCCAATCCACAAATTAGTTCTGGGGATGAGGTCCAGAGACCCTGGGCTTAGGGGAGGATCTTTCTGGCCACTCCCAGCCTCCGAGGGTACATCCTTGCATGTCGCGCTGGTATCTCTGAGTATAGACTTTGCCATAGATCTCTTTAACAATGGCAAGACTAAGGCCCATCTGAGCCATAGACTGAGAAATAGCCTCGGCAAGTGATTTCTTTGTTGAGTGTCTGCAGGAGAAAGGGAAAGCAAGATGTGAGGAGAAATCAGATGACTTTGGGAAATTTATGCTCATATATTCATTTCCTTCTTAGGCCATAACCTGGTAACCTTTCCAACCCTAAACTTCCATAATGTACAGAAGCTTTTTATTGAATAGAAACCATTGAGCTAGTAAAATAAAAGTCAACCAAGGGGTCAACCTGTGTCAATGGAAACTTAATTTAAGAGGATTAATTGAAGGTTGGACACAATCTACTCAACCATTTTTAATGAAGACTAAGCAATACGCCATTAATATTCAATAAATAAAACCAATAAGAAATGTTCTCAAGTGCTGTATAAGAAAAGGAGAGAGAGGCAGGGAGAAGAGAGCTAGAATGATATGGATCTGGGACTAAGCAGGTAGAGGGACGAGAGAAAGAGAAAGGATGAGAGAGAGAAATTAAGAGACAAGTACACAGAGAAACAAATGTTGAGAAAAATACAGAGTCGAGGGGAGGGCAATTCAGAATGCCAAAAGAAAAACACTTTCCTTATATTGTTTCCCCATTTTTTCCAATGGACTCTGGTGAACAACAGCACCTCCTACCATAAGTTGAAAATACAATTTCCATTTGCTTTTGTGCCGCTGTCCTGAACAACTGAGACAAATATTATTTCAGCAATACAGAATCTTCATTCTGTGCCTATGGTTGAAAAACACACAACATGCAAAACTCATACTCAATTTTTGCCCAAAGCCTCAAGTGGTAAAATTTTAGCTACCAATATTATTATTTAAAAACGTTTTTTAATAAAATTAAACTGATTCCAAAAACTACATGAATAAAACACATGGTGAACACCACCCAGGTCAAAAAATAGAACTTGGCTAACCACTCCAGAAGTCTAGTCTTTGGCATACTTGTTAGAAAATACGATTGGAAATCAGACTCCTGTGGGAAAGTCTAGCCTTTGTCACTTGCAGGTTATGTTACCTTGTACAAGTTACTAAACTTCACTGTGACTCAATTTTCTCATCTGTAAAATGGGAGAATAGGGTTCCTACCTCATAGAGCAGTTTTGTGGATTAAATGAAGTAATCGATGTAAAGTACTTTGAATAGTGCCTGGAATTTAATAAAGTAATTAATAGTGAGATGTTAGCTATTATTGTGATGAAGTTACTGAGCTATCCTGAGGCCTTTTAATGATATTACTAAAATTCTCTAAGGTTAGAGTGAAATTTTACAACTACACTATTAAAAATAAATCCCTTCTTCTTATTTCTTAGGGCAGATGACAAAATAAAGGGGAGCAATTTGTGCATCTGTCCCATGTTACATGATAGGTTGTGACTGATTTTAAATAATCTATTAGGACAAGATGCTAGGGCCTCTCACATACAGGATGGTATTTTGTCTCACAAAACTCTGTTGGGTAGTTCCCTATTTTCCAGATGAGGAAACTGAGTTTCCAAGAGAAAAGTAACTTGCCTGTTGGCACACAGCTAGAGAAAGGTCAGAACCATCCTCAGGCCCAGGTTTATCACATTCCCAAGCTAAGGTTTTTTTCTAATGCAGAAGGTCTATCGACCTAGAATGGACTTGGCATAATAGAAACAGGAGTGGATATCACAATTGGGTAATGAGTGTTAGAGACAGGTGATTACAACCCCATTTGCTTTTCCTAGTAATTTGATATAATTTCCCCCACCCCAAAAGGGGTGGCTGTGGGATTGTGATGGGTGTGGACCCTTCCCTTTTTCAGGTTATTTTATTAGCAACACACACATTACAATTACAGAACTCCATGCTGAGACCCAGTCACTGCTGGCTTTGTGAACTGGGTGAGACCTGTAGCCATCACCGGCATTTTCCTCTTCTCCCTCTCCGCAGTCTCGCCCTTGACTCCTGAGCGTGCCAGGGTCTACTTGGGTGATCATCATACTCGTGGCTTTTATGTGGATAATCAGATCAAAGTTCATTCCCCTTTCTTCAGATGAGACAAAAGTCGCATAGTTTTTATTTTTATTGAGGAAGTGCTTTCAAAAAGAAAAAGAGCTGTGGGTTCATCGGGATTGATTGCTGAGTCCCTTGTGCCACCCATGACAACCTTTTCAGCAGCATTATTTGCAAAGTACAGTTTTATTAAGCACCTGATTGCTGTTGATCATCAGTTTCTTCTCTGCTGTGATAAGCAGAGCGTCAATAACACCTTTATCACAAGCCATTATCATATTGTTGATCGCTAATCTGTGAAGTCTGTGGTCACCGAATTGGAACCAGCCTCTTAGATCTCAGGAGAATGGAGTTTACAGCTGTCATTGTAACAGAGTTCTCAACAGTATTTGTGGGACCTGTCACTGAAAAGTGTTTCATGTGCTCTAATGGACATGTTTTAGGGCTGCAGGCTGATGGATGTTTTCACAGACTCTTCTGTCTTTCCCATCATTTTCCTCTCCATGACTAGTCAATATCCTGCCTGCACCAGTGTTACACATGCTGGGCGGCTCAGAATGACTTGACACAGAACACCCTCGGGACAGGCTCTGTTTAATGAATGCCGCTTTCATTGATGCTTGTTTTAAGAAGGCTCTTAGGACCATGGTGTTTGTTCTTGCTAAGATGAAGGGCTGCAGAGGTCCATTTCCCCAGGTAATTCTGAAGTTTTCAATATCTTTTACCAAATCCTCTAGCAGTTTTGAAATTCTCTCTGCACAGTGAAGCGTTAGGAAAAGCAGGAATGATCTTCTGCTGGGAACCGTGCCACAGGGGCAGAAAAATGGATGCAGGCTAGGCAAGGCCTAAGATTCTACAGAGGACTCTTGGGTCAAATCATCATGAGAGTAGCTGCCTCTAAGAGTATCTTCTATTAGTGGAGACATTAGTTTAATCAAATCATAATTACTGTAACAATAAGAGTTAACATTTCCAGAGCCTTCATTCTATGCCCAGTACTTTATTTGCTGTCAGTTCAGGTCCTCTGGGAAGCGGGTGACAGGATAGAATTAGAAATTAAAGAGGAATGCCTGTGAAGTAGGCAGGGAGAACGTCAAACCATGATGCTGGTCGACGTCTTTGATGGTAAGGATGGAAGGGCAGGAAGGAGGACTGGGTGAGAGCTTCAGACTGCAGTGCAGCTCTGAAAAAGTCTTGGCCAGGCCAGCAGGGAGCCCCAGGGCAAAGACTGCTCATTGGAAGAGTCCGTATTGGGCAGGAATGGCCTGGCTCTGGAATCCCTCCTATGCTCACATTGGCTGGGAGCTGCCTGGGAAGAGTGTGGCCTTGGCCTGAACACTGCAATGGATCCTGAAGGCACAGCAGGTGGAGGCTGCACTCACTACACAGCTTGCTGCAGGCTCACTCTTGACGAGACGTGGAAGTGGCACACCTCCACGGCTGCCTTAGATGCCTTATTGCTTTAACTCTTGCACCGATCCTTTCATGTGTATGTTCCAGTTGAACTGCATCAAACTAGAATTTAGCTGGCTGGAATTCAAATAAGAGAGAAGGTGAAGGTGGGGAAGAAGGTGAGGGTGGGAAAAAGGAGGAGAGCATCAGCTGAGATTTCAGGCAATTCTACCTGACATTTCAGTCAAGCAGTGAATGATGCCCAGTGCATCTCAGTTCCTGTGTGTCGATCAGATTGTGAACCTCTTGTTGCTTTGAATTATTGCCCTAGACTTGTAATATTTGAAGATAGTAAGTGTTTTTCATACAATGCAGTCCCTAAGCACAAATCAACTATTTCATTTGGGGCTCAAAAAAGAAACAGCACATTTTTTTCTATAATTGATGATTATATTATGCACTGACTTTAAAAAACCCAGGTGCTTGGAAAGATGAGACTGCTGTGATATCCTGACTTTTCCCAAGAGGACACTGAAGTTAGTGAGGCACAGTAACTTCTCTAAGGCCACACAGCTAATAAGTAGCCGGACTGTCTGACTCTACTTTTAGCCACTCCCCTGTGCAGTCTTCTCCCTGCACGACAGTTATAACCCCTCCACCTCCTTGATGATTGAATGGACACACTAGCTGCGAGGGAATACCGAGGGGCTACTGCATTATCCGGTCCTCTGGCAAGACTTGCATTACTGAACAGAATCACTGAGATGTAAACAAGGCAAAATTTAGACCAGTTCTAGGAAAAGTGCTGAGTTATGGGAATTAAAACAAAAAAGAGCCTGCCTCTCACATCTATTACGGGGTTCAGATTTCTCTCCTCCCACTGTTTTCTTATTTTTATTTTTATAGACGCTGCCAGAACTCTTGAGTTTGGATAGTGAGGCTGATTTACCTGCTATTTTGCATGATCTGACAATTAATTTAACTTCCTACCTGGGAAGAAACACTTTTTGTCTTGACTTGACCTTAGAGGGCCTCAGATCTAAGAAGCAGCCAGCCCAGGTATT